TGGTTACTAAGGTGAGATGTTAGGAGTAAAGACCAAGCAGATCCAGAACAAAATGCTTCTCCCAAGGAGCCCCAGTGATGGGTGCCTCAGCTCTTAGAGGTAGTGACAAGTTCCTGTATATGTTAGGTCAAAGATTGAACCTGTATTCAGATGCCCAAGAGAAAGAACAGACTAAAGTTTATTAATGAGAACTCAACTTTTGCTTTCTTTGTGATTTGAGGCAGAAGTCTATTCAATCATTTCAGTTATAGCAAAGTAAATTCCGAATCTAGGAAATAATATTTTTTGACTTTTAGAAATAAGAAGTTTTGAAATTCCTTATGATTGCTTTAAAGAGATTATAAAACTTTTGATGAAGAAATATAATGACTGGCAAAGCTCACTGGTTTTTCAGATGTAGACATCGTAGCAGTTTATTTATACATCATAGTGAAATAGGAAGCTACCTCTTTGATGACTCTGTAATGTTCTGGGTATTTACTTTGTTAGCTCCTGTTCATTTCTAGACAATATCAAGTATAATACCTAGAATATACTAGGAACACAGGCAAGGTTTATCAAATTAAGAAACAACAAATAATCATAAAAATTATTAATTTAAGAGTGCAGGTGTTTGTATTAAGCCAAGGAATAAGGCAATGATAAAACTCAATGTTTCACTCAACCTTGAGAAAGCCAAATGAGATGTGGTTGGGTGGAGTTTTCCAAAAGGAATAAAAAGAGGAAGGTGAATTTCTATGGCTAGTAAAAGGGAAAAGCATGTACAGACTCGGGAGAGGGTTTTAGACTTGACCAATTGGAAGCACTGGTGGTCTCAAATTTTTTTCATGTTTGTATCTCCATAGAGAAGTAGTCACAAGCCAAAAATGTATCTCTGTGTGATTCATTATCTCTTCAAATCCAGCATGCATAACTTGGTCACAGTGAGACACTCAGTCACCTCAGTCACTCAGTCAGTAATAATTATTTTTAGGTGTTTGCCAGGTAGCAATGATAGTCAATGTCTTATTTCCCCTTCAAATCTGATATGTCCTCAAAGCCTGTGGCTTTTTTCTAAACAACCTCTTGGATTCCCCAGTTGAGGGAGGCACTCTCCTCCCCTACCCCAGTAGTTCAAACTCTCCCTGCTTTCACTGGACTCAGAATACCAGAGTTGTTCATGGTCTCTTGACCTTGAGACTACTTTCCCATCCCCGTGCTACTACCCTATTCACATGTCACTGAACTTTAATTTCTACAATGACTCTCAACGTATAGTTTTAATAAAAAAGAACATTCTTTGGACTCAGAGAATTTTGTTTAAATTTATATTCTATCTCTTAATTTGTGACAATAGCTACATGCATTGTTTCCCAAATTACTTGATGTATTTTGCATACAATAAATAAAAATATAGTCATGTGCCAGTTAACAATGAGGATACAGTCTCATAAATGAGTTGTTAGGTGATTTTATTATTGTGCAAATATCATAGACTATACTTACTGACACCTGTATGATATAGCCTTGGTTCTATAATATATTATATATAATATAATATATAGCTCCTTGGCTACAAAACTGCACATCATGTTACTATACTGAATATTTTGGCAAGTGTAATATAATGGTATTTGTGCAACTAAACATGTCTAAACATAGATAAGGTACTCTAAAATATGGTATTGTAATCTTATGGGGCCATGGTTCAGAAACATTTTTATGTGGCATATTTATGTTATGTGTTATGTGTCATTGTTATGTGGCATATTTATGTTATGTGTCATTGTTATGTGGCATATTTATGTTATGTGTCATTGTTATGTGGCATATTTATGTTATGTGTTATGTGGCATTGTTATGTGGCATATATAATGATCTTGGCTCTGCTAGTTACTAAAAGTGAAAAGGCAAAAAGAAAAATAAACATTTTTAAAAAATTAATACAAAAATTAGGCTAAAAATACACTTTCTACTTGCTATAAATTTTTACTCTCTTATTATATGTGGGTCAGAAATTCAGCTGCAAGCCTTCTAGCTTGCCCTAGTTGCCCTAGGTTGTTTGTCTATATTATGGGTTTGCCAATATGTTAAGCATTTTCATATGCAATATCCCATCTAATTTGTCAATACTTATAAAATCTTGAGAGACAGGTACTAATATGACCATCGCTTAATGGAAATTAACTAACTTATCTAAAATCCTTTATCTGGTAAGTGAGGACATGAACTTGAAACCTGGGTGATATGATAGGCACATACACACAGCTTTCCACTCACATACACATCAGCTCACAAATAAATAAACAAACCACCCTAAGACAGTGTTAACTAAAAGGCATGAACAAGGTTAATAAAATCTTTTTCATCTTCCTCCCTTGAGGATGAGAAGACGGCATGTCAGAGTCCCTAATCCCCTAACTACCTACCTTTTTCCCACAAGGAACAGTGAGTGACAAGAGAAAATAAATGGGCAGGGAATCAACCTCTCTAACATCCTTCTTTTTCCTTTTACTCATTTTTTTTGGTTGGTGTGTCTGCTCCCTTGCAAATTTTCTTTGTCAACACACTCTTTCTTCATTGCCTTTGGCCTGATTCCCAAGATTTGGTGAGTATTGGCTGTTTGAAGGGGTTTGATTGGGACGAGACTTAGAGAAAGCGAGTGAAAAGCCAGGCCTCTATTTCTTAGGACCATAGACTGGGCACTATAATTTTCTTCCCGGAGCAACTCTGATTTATAAACCGATGCCTTGATCTCCAATACTTGTGTATATGCTCCACTGAATAGGCATCAAAAGATCAAAACAGATGGACAATTATACAGCTGAGTTAAGTATGACCACTTAGCAGTGTTAGGAAATTTGTTTCAGACATATGACAAGAGTCCGTAACTCTAACCTAAACTGTAGAACTAAGTGTGCTGGGATGTGTGTATGCCAACTTTTATCCATCTTGCTATTTCTGTTCTCTTCGCCACTGTGTGGTCTATTAATAATAATACTAATGATATAAAATATAACCTAATATAAAGAAGTAAAACTTGTTACATGCTTAATATGTTTCAGGTACTATATTAAAGAGTATTTTTCAGTGTGTATCATTTTGTCTTAATAATAACTATAAAAATTAGAAATATTAATTTTTTTTAAATACATAGGAATCTGAAGATCATACAATTTAAATAGCTTGCCCAGGTTCACATAGCTAGTAAATTGTGGAACCAGGATTAAATTGTGAAACCTAGCTTTCTGAGGCACCAGAGCACACACACACTTTGTGCCAATATTTTGGCAACATATTGTGGATGCCTGAGTGTATGTGTGTGTATGTACCATAACACTATAATCACTAATGATAAAATTACACGAATTCCTTTATATTACCCAATACCTAGTTCATATTTAAGTTTCCCTAATTCTTCTTTAATTGAATTCAATATCTGTTTCGTTTAAACAAAATTCGATAGAGAACCGCACTGCAGGCCGGGCGTGGTGGCTCACACCTGTAATCCCAGTATTTTGGGAGGCTGAGGCGGATGAATCATCTGAGGTCCGAAGTTTGAGACCAACCTGACCAACATGGTGAAACCCATCTCTACTAAAAACACAAAAATTATCCTGGTATGTTGGTGGGTACCTGAAATCCCAGCTACTCCAGAGGCTGAGGCAGGAGAATCCCTTGTGCCTGGGAGGCAGAGGTTGCAGGAAGCCGAGATTGTGCCACTGCACTCCAACCTGGACAACAGAGTGAGACTCTGTCTAAATAACAAACATAACATAACATAACATAACATAACATAACATAACATAACAATATAACGTAACATAACCACACTGCATTTGTTTTTTTCTTAAATATCCTTCAGTCTGGAAATGAATTTTCCATACCTAATATTCCCCTTCCCCTTTAATGGCATTGCCTTGAAAAAAGATAACAGATTTTCATAAATTATTCCATGTTGTGGATTTATCTGATTGTTAAATGAGAACCCTGAGAGTTAACTTTCTGTGCACGCATGTGTGTCTGTGAATGCTTCTGTATGACTTTATGAACATCTGTTGTATTTGAGTTCATGGAAATAAAAAAACTTGAGAAAACCTTTCCCCACATATGTATGAATAAAGGATGACCTCAGGCAAGTTGGGAGAACTGTGATTCAAAGTATTAATATATAGTTTCAGTATGCTGATGCCACGTGATGTTTGAGTATGTGAGTAGCATAGGAGTTTTCAACATGAAGGCTGAAAAACCTAGTCAGGTTTCCAGTATTAGCAACAGGTGAATTCTATACCCCCAGTGGATAAGAGAGCCAAGATGAAGGTGACTAAACAGGAAAACCTAGAATCCTCAGTAGATGAGGGGCTTGGCTGTGACCCACTCTCTGAAGGCTGAACTGTGTTCCCAGAATCTAGAATGTGAAGACACTGTAGAGGAAGGTTTGAGTTGTAAGAAAGGTGTTTTCATCTGTGATAAGGACGTGTAAGAAAGGAAGACAAAGAGCACCTCTTTTGCCAAAGGAAGAGTGGAGAAAATAAGCCCTGGTCTGAGGAATGGAAAGTATTGTGAGCTGGGCCTAAGAAGGAGATAAAAAGCAGGGGTAGGGATAAATTTGAACATGATTCTTGGCCTTCTCACATTAGGAATATGAAGCATATGGCTACCAAAAGCCTCATTTTAGTCCTGATTCTGTAAGTCCTTGGCCTTGCTACATGGTTCATTACCTGTAGCACTTACATGTGTAGTATCTTTCTACTCATATAGAATTATCTACAGATATAAAAAATATTTTCTATGCAATGCAATGGGGTGTTAGATGAGGGTGGGTAGAGGCATTACTGGGGAAGGAAGAATGCATAGGACCCGTGGAGGTTTTAGGAAATAACCAAACTTGTGACAGTTAAATGAGAACACTGAGAATTAACTGTCTGTGGACCCATGCGTGTTTGTGAATGCTTTTGGATAACTTTATGAACATCTGTTGTATTTGAGTTCATGGAAATATAGGCAAAATCCAATTATGCAATGTTTTGTTTATATTCTCAGCACGTGTGTGGGGAAGAGGGGAGGAGAGGGGGCTTATAACTGTGTAAAATTATATATGGGTAAATATATGGTAGCAAAATATATGACAGAATGTGAGTGTAGGTCAGGATATGCCTGAGAATTTAAATATTAAGGGTCTGTGTTTGAGAGAATATGTGTCTTGGGTTGATGTGTCTATCTAATAGATATATGTTCACAAAAAAAGCAATCTTCCTTTTGGACAGAAACCTTGACTGGGAGTGTCATTAAGTCCACAGTATTAGACTATTACACACTTGTGTAGTATATAGAGTGTTGGAAAACTACTATTTTTTTTTTTTTTTTTTTTTTGAGAAGAAAGGCTAGTGAGCTTCAGCTATATGGGACTTTTCTAGTTTAAACATTTACACATGTTATCCAGCATAGTGTAGGAGCTCATCTAGTGTTTGCTGAACTGAATTAGGTTTTTAGATGGCAATAAAGAGGCGTTGATCTTACAAATCTAAGAGCCACAGTCATCAGGTAGCAAATAGCTGTCTTGGGGGCAGAGACAGATAATTCATGATGACACAGCGAGCAGATCCTAGATAATTATGTCCATAAGGTCATATGAGCTATAATCCACTAACCCATGAAAAGGTATATTCTGTACTTTGTTAACTTGTATGGGAGAACAGTGTATAACAAAGAGTGTAACCAGTCTGGAAGGCTTCCTGGAGAAGCTCTGTAAGCTACTGGTGGAGGCCAGAAGAAAGAAGAGATTCTCTTCACATAGACTAATAATGTCTCTATTTGTATCTGAACAATCTTGGTTTATGCATGTTGCTACCATTATTACCAAACTTAACCTTTGTTCATTTCAAATAGGTTCCCTTTTGGATGATAAATTACAAGGTCACTTTATCTTCAGGAGGCTATAATAATGATTAGTTGAAAGTGAGAGTTACTCAAGTTTCTCTAACTCTCTTTCATCACCTTCTGTCTTTAGGACCTGAGATTTGTGCCATCTGCATGTGCCATGATCATTTTCAACCTGAGCAGTTACAATCCAGGACCCTTCATTCTGGTAGGGATCCCAGGCCTGGAGCAATTCCATGTGTGGATTGGGATTCTTTTTTGTATCATCTACATTGTAGCTGTTGTGGGAAACTGCATCCTTCTGTACCTCATTGCAGTGGAGCATAGTCTTCATGAACCCATGTTCTTCTTTCTCTCCATGCTGGCCATGACTGACCTCATCCTTTCCACAGCTGGTGTGCCTAAAATGCTCAGTATCTTTTGGCTGGGGGCTCGAGAAATCACATTCCCAGGATGTCTTACACAAATGTTCTTCCTTCACTATAGCTTTGTCCTGGATTCAGCCATTCTGATGGCCATGGCATTTGATCGTTATGTAGCCATCTGTTCTCTCTTGAGATATACCACCATTTTGACTCCCAAGATCATCATCAAGATTGCTATGGGCATCTCCTTTCAAAGCTTCTGCATCATCCTGCCAGATGTATTATTGCTGACACGCCTGCCTTTCTGCAGGACACACATCATACCCCACACATACTGTGAGCACATAGGTGTTGCCCGGCTCGCCTGTGCTGATATCTCCATCAACATCTGGCATGGCTTTTGTGTTCCTATCATGATGGTCATCTCAGATGTGATTCTCATTGCTGTTTCCTACACCCTCATCCTCTGTGCTGTCTTTCGCCTTCCTTCCCAAGATGCCCGCCAGAAAGCTCTCGGCACTTGTGGTTCTCATGTCTGTGTCATCCTCATGTTTTATACACCTGCCTTTTTCTCCATACTCGCCCATCGCTTTGGACACAATGTCTCTCGCAGCTTCCACATCATGTTTGCCAATCTCTACATTGTTATCCCACCTGCACTCAACCCCATTGTTTATGGAGTGAAGACCAAGTAGATGAGAGATAAGGTTATACTTTTGTTTTCTACTAAGGGTACAGGATGATGTCTTACTGGGCGATGGAATAACCAGAATAAGTTTTTAATGTACAGAAATGTAGAAAGAGTAAAAAGGCAAATGCTATTTAAAGCAAAAACTACTTGGAGCTGCTTTCATGAAGCAAGAATGTGGCATGATCTGTATGAAAATTATGGTCCTATGTATAAAAAAATCCTGATGACCTCTTTGCTTGTGAAATAGGGGGCTGCACAGAATATGATCAGGAAGAAGGAGATGAAAACAGAGAGCTAAATTACTCTAAATTGAAAAAGAAATAAAAATTTGGAAATTGATATTTGCAGCTGTGATAAGTGAGAACAGAAACGCTGAGAAACAGAGAATAACTAGTAAAAAGATCAGTGAGAAATTTCTCATCTCGAGGATTATCAGATGGATATTGAGAACATTAATGATAACATTGGATTCTAATTATTTTCCTTTTATGTTTCACTGTAATTCCCTTTAATTGTTTCCTCTCTATATACACACAAAATGAAAACTCAAAGAATCTTCAGTACAAGTCTGCTGCAAATAGTGTTACATCAGCAGTGTGATGAAGGGAATGAGTGAATTAGCATATTGATCAATGGCATGGTTTAGGGCTTTGGTGCTGGGAGAGGAGAGTAGGATCTAGGCCCCAAGACACATTGAGAAAGTGAGCTGCAGAGGTAGTACTGGGAGAATATAACCTCTCAAAACAGTTAGAGATTTGAATAAATAACTGGAGTTCCCACAGCACACAGATTGGACTTCAAGCCAGCTCATTTAGAAACTAAAGTAAAAATTTAACCACACTAGTTAGAGGACCTGTGGAACTCTGTTCTACATACTGCAGTTCCTTGATTGCAAGAAACATTTTTACAGTGAGGAGAGGGAATGAGGATGGGAACACCACAATAAAGTAACACATCCATGGAAAAATGCACCCAAATTTTGTAAGGATTAGAACTGAGAAAATACTATATGTTGTGATTAAAGAAGGAACTTAGAAGCATAATCATAAACGGTTATGAAATGTAGAGCTGATCTCTCCCAGTGGTTTCCGAGACAATCCTAAAGAGCTGGGTTCTGAGAGGATGCCTTAAGGTGCATCTCAAGGGTTATGTGGAGGAAGTATCTTGTCTTCTTTTTCCACAATCACAGGAGATCTGATATTACTTAGTTTTGTTTGTGTATTAAGTGTTTAGGTAGGATTCTACTTGAACAATAAAGTTTCTTCAATAAATCCTGTTTTGAAAATCATCCATTCTTTGGCTATTATTACAAAGTGGAAAAAAAAAATAACAGATGCTGATGAGGTTAAGGAAAAAAGGAACACTTATACATGGATAGTGGGAGTGTAAATTAGTTTAACCATTGAGATAGTGTAATGATTCTTCGAAGACCTAAAGAGAGAAGAACCATTTGACCCAACAATTCTATTACTGGGTATATACCAAAAGAAATATAAATTGTTCTATTATAAAGACACATGCATGCATATGTTCACTGCATCAGTATTTACAATAACAAATACATGGAATCAACCTAAATGCCCATCAATGGTATACTGGGTAAAAAAGTGTGGTACATATACACCATGGAATACTTTGCAGCCATAAAAAACAATGAGATTATGTCCTTTGCAGGCACATGGATGGATCTGGAGGTCATTGTCCTTAGCGAACTAACATGGGAACAGAAAACCAAATACTGCATGTTCTCATTTATAAGTGGGAACTAAATGATGAGAACACATGGACACATAGAGGGGAACAACACACACTGGGGCATATCAGAGGGTGGAGAATGAGAGAAGGGAGAGGATTAGGAAAAATAACTAATGGGTACTAGGCTTAATATCTGGGTAATGAAGTAATCTGTACAAAAAATCCCCATGGCACAAATTTACCTACATAACAAACCTGCACATGCACCCCAGGACTTAAAAGCAAAAGTTAAATTATGAAAAGAAAATCATCCGTTCATTTGGAAAATATTTATTGAGGACCTTATGTATATTAGATATTGTTCTAACCATTTGGGATTAGGAGGAGTCTCTGCCATGCTTCCATGGAGTTTATATTCTTGGGAGAGTGACAAGCAATAAAACCGAGAAGCCAGTTCATTGCTTAAGAATATTAATATGACAAATGAAAAAAATAAAGTTGAGTAAGATGATGGACTAAAACTGGCCTGGAGGACAGTGGCAGAGAGGACAGCAAATGAAAATACTCTAGGGCTGAAAAAGCTTGACATGAATTGGGGATAGAAACAAGGCTAGAGTGGCTGCAGCAGAGTGATGGAGGGAGGGGATAGGGCATGAGGGATGCGAAGGGGTAGGGTCGGATGCTGTGGAACTTAAACTAGTCAAATCTCATTCTCAGAAGAGGGGGCTGAAGATCAAAAAGTGCAAATAACTTTTCCAAGGCATACAGGAAGGAAGTTATGAATGTGGAGCTAGAATACAATCTGTTATCTCGCAGTTCAATGATATTCTCATTAAACACAGCCTCATGCTTATGAAAATAGACTCCAAAGGAATGAAAAGAATCTGGGAATATCAGAGTCTACTTTTTTTTTTTTAATATACTTTAAGCTTTGGGATACATGTACAGAATGTGCAGGTTTGTCACATAGGTATACACGTGCCACGGTGGCTTGCTACACCCATCAACCATTACCTACATTAGATATTTCTCCTAATGCTATCCCTCCCCTAACCTCCCACCCCCTGACAGGCCCCGGTGTGTGATGTTCCCCTCCCTGTGTCCATGTGTTCTCCCACTTATGAGTTAGAACACGTGGTGTTTGATTTTCTGTTCTTGTATTAGTTTGCTGATAATGATGGTTTCCAGCTTCATCCATGTCCTTGCAAAGGACATGAACTCATCATTTTTTGTGGCTGCATAGTATTCCATGGTGTATATGGGCCACATTTTCTTTATCCAGTCTATCATTGATGGGCATTTGGGTTGGTTTCAAGTCTTTGCTATTGTAAACAGTGGTGCAATAAACATACGTGTGCATGTGTCTTTATAGTAGAATGATTTATAATCCTTTGGGTATATCTCCAGTAATGGGATTGCTGGGTCAAATGGTATTTGTGGTTCTAGATCCTTGAGGAATTGTCACACTGTCTTCCACAATGGTTGAGCTAATTTATACTCCTACCAACAGCGTAAAAGCATTCCTATTTCTCCACATCCTCTCCAGCATCTGTTATTCCCTGACTTTTTAATGATTGCCGTTCTAACTGGTGTGAGATGGTATCTCATTGTGGTTTTGATTTGCATTTCTCAGAGCCTAATTTTATGATTGTTATAAACTCTAGTTGTATTTTAAAATTTTAATTAATTTACATTTTGGATATTTAAAAATTTTAATTGACAAACATTAATTGTATATATTATAGGGTCCTTGTAATGTGATTATATTTGTATACATTGTGAAATGACTAAATCACGCTAATTAACTTATTCATCACCTCACATGCTTTTTTATGGTAAGATCATTTAACATCTATTCTTTTAGAAATTTTGAAGTATTCAATACATTATTATTAACTATAGTCACCATGCTGTGCAACAGATCACTAAAATATATTCCTCTAGTCTAACTGAAACTTTGAACATGGACTCCCCAGCCTGGTAACCACTATCATACTGTCTACTTCAATGTAAACTCCAGTTACTTAAAATTAAGCCACATCTGACTGTATGAGAGTTCTGCTTTCTGTGCCAACTTCCAAAAATGCCCACAGATACCACAAGATTTTCTAGTATTCTGTTATTCTCTTCTGGTTATTACCATGTTGCTGAGAACATGGATTGACCAAGAGATAATATTTTTTAAAGTTTATGAAAGGAATAATAAATAATACAGAATGGAAACTATTTAAAAGTACATACTCTTTTCATCCTAGTAGGCATTCAAACCCATGGTTATACACTAATACGTGTGAATGGTTCTCATGAAAGACACATAGTGCAAGAAACCCCACAAAAAGGAAACTGATGTCTGTACTGATGTCTTCTATTCCTCCTTCTACTATCTATCTCTGGCTCAATCATCTGCTATTATTTTTCTACCCTCTGCCCCAGGAGGGTTTATTTATTTCTGCGGCTACATAAATATTTTGCTGGTTATGCTGTATTTTAATTCTTACATGCGATCTTGCTCAGCTCATAGGATCAGTACTAGGATTAAAAAATGTAGATAAATGTGCTTTGCAGATTTTAAAATGCTATTCCAATCTTAGCTGCTATGTTAGTATCTTTTTTATAAATTTAAAGGGTACAAGTGCAGTTTTATTACATGGACATATCGCATAGTGGTGAAGTATGAACTTTTAGTGTATTCATCAATTCTAATAATATTAATTCTTCTGATCCATGAGCTTGGGTCATTTTATATTTCTTTGCATCATCTACAGTTTCTTTCATCAGTGCTTCGTGGTTCTTCTTGTAGAGATGTTTAACCTCCTTGGTTAAATGTATTCCTAGGCATGTTTTTTGGTAGTAATTATAAGTGAGATTGCCCTCTGGATTTGGTTCTCTGCTTGATTGTTATTGGTACATAGAAATGCTACTGATTATTGTATGTTAGTTTGTATCTTGAAATTTTACTGAATTCATTTACTAAATCTAGAGCTTTTTTGACATAATTTTGGGGCTATATATATATAAAATTGTATTGTTAGCATACAGAGATAATTTGACTTCTTGCTTTCTAATTTGGATGCCCTTTATTTCTTTCTCCTGCCTAATTTTTCTGGCTATGACTTCCAGTACCATATTGAATAGGAGTAGTATGGCAGATGAGAAGGGTGCAGCTATTCCTGCCAAGAACAAGAGAGAAGGCAGAGGCTGAGGCTGGGAGGGCAGGGGTGTAAAGGGGTCCTCAGCTTCCTCTTCCTCCACTTCACATAGCTTATGGGAGGAAATGGAAAGGGAAATGTGTGTTGGAGACGTGGATGATCTGGGGGAGTTGTCCCTGAAAGTTTTCCAAGAGGAAGTGTGCTAGTAGAGCCCACACCTTGAGTACGAGAATTTCTTGTGTTTCTTAAGTGTCTTCTTAATGTACATGTTGTGCTTGCCCCGTGGTTTTGGGAGAGACGTTCCCAGACCCTGAGGGAGCTGGCAGTGTTCTTGTATTATAAAGACTGGGCCTGCCTTGTGGTAAGTTGGTTGTTCCCAAGGTCCAGAGAAGCCCCTAGGGCCCTGTTGTGAGTGGGGCAGGGTCAAGTTTTGCAACTTGACAAAGCCTCATCCTTTAGAAGGAAGTTCTGGCTACTAAGCCAATAAGACTCCTACGTGAGAAAGTCTCGTCCACTTTATTGCCTGTCTCTACCCTGGAGGAGTCAGGGTGTCGGGATGTGAGAGAAGCTCCAGGAGGCAGTGCTGCCAAGAGGGCTGCGTGGGAAGCTTGAGACCTCAAACAGGACCAGACATTCTAATCTCTGCTCACGTGCCCCAGGTTCCTCAGTCTCCAGTACAGGTTAGGATATCAGATTCTATCTCTCACAAAGTTCAAGGACTTAACTGTGGTTGTCAAGTGGTGCATGGAAAGCCCATCTTACCTTAGAGCTTTCTTTCAGGCTAATTGTCCACTGAAATCCAGGTAAGCAGAGTGTTCCCTTGCCTCCCCCTGTTACCACTTTCAGCAGACTGTCAGTTGCACTGTCACCATGGTATCTAATCCCAGCCCCTTCCACTGTAGTCCAGCCCTGATGCTCTTCTACATCCTTAGTGGACCTCAGATTTTCTCTGAGTTCTATAGAACTCAAATATTTTTTTCTTTTCTTTTTAACTCTTAAAATTCAGGGGTGCAAGTATAAATTTGTTACATAGGTAAACTTGTGTCACAGGGTTTTATTGTACAGATTATTTTGTCATCCAAGTATTAAGCCTAGTACCCAATAGTTATTTTTTCTGATCCTCTCCTTCTTCCCACCCTCTACTCTCTAAAAGGCCCCAGTGTGGGGAACCCAACATATCTTCTCATGGAAAAAGAACAGAGGAAAAAAGAACCACAAAGTTGGGTTAAGGGATGGATATTCACACTGGTTATAGAACAAATTAAGTTCCATCAACCAGATTCCTAGAGCTCTTGTGGACCAGACCTGAAGAAAGAGGTGTAAGAAATCATGGGCAGATGGAAAAATGTGCCAGACACACTGGAGAAATGAAATGTTTTGGAGAGTTTGGGGTCTGAGCTTAAAAATTGGCTTCTGGAAACTGATCGTGAAACAGGTGCTTTGAGCATCTGTCAGTGACTAAAGTAGAAAATAGCCATTCTATTAATATGCTTCCTTCCTTCTGGCCTATATATCCCCTAGGGTGGAGGGAACACAGAGGCTGTACCGTAGTTGGAAGAATTCGGTGTAGAGAACACGAGTTACTTCCTCTGGCACAAGTGATTAGTGAAAACATAACCCAATGTCTCCTGTGCCTGGGCTGATGGGGATCATTATATCCAGAGGAGAGGACTATCAGAAGTATATGGCCTTTAGTCAGATGAGTGTCAATTCAAATCCTAGCTCTTCTGTTTACCTGCTGTGTGACCTGGAGTAAGTTTGTTAATCTCTCAGGAACAAAATTCTTTGATCAGTTATATGAGAATGTTAGCAAATACGCTAGACTGTTAAGAGAATTCATAGTTGAGAATCTGATGAATCCCCAGAAAAGTGCCTCACACAAAGAGGGCGTTTGGCAAATGCTCTAGCATCCTAAGCCCTAGCATCACACTCATTCATTTAAAATCTCTCCACAATTGCTGGTTGCCTCTCATAGGCCCCATTTATATACTGCAAGGACACAGCTAGATGGAAGCAGAAGATCACTAGATCCTGCACTGCCAGGTGTCAATCAGACCTTGCTGATCTCTGGGTCTGGGCCCTCTGTCCTGCTGGGGGTGCCGGGACTGGAAGCTCAGCATGCCTAGCTCTCTGTGCCTGTGTGCCTGCTCTACATGGCAGCTTTGGTAGGCAATGCCCTTCTCCTGGGACTGGTAATTGCTGACAAGGCACACTTGGCAGCCATCTACCAGCTGCTGGAGCTTCTGGCAGCTGCCGATTTGGTTCTGGCCACATCCACAGTGCCCAGAGCTCTGGCTGTGCTTTGGGGCCTGTCCAGTGAGATCTCATTTGGAGCCTGTTTGGCTCGACTCTTTGCTGTCCATGTGGCCTCCACTGCTGAATCCTCAGTGCTGCTGGCCATGGCTGTAGACTGCTACATGGCCATCTACCAGCCTTTGCGCAGTGGGGTGTTGCTGACCCGGTGTGTGGTAGGTCTAGTGGCTGTGGCGGCTGTGACCCGTGTTGTCTGTGTCATGGTGAATCCTGTGATCCTGCTCAAGAGAAGGCCTTATTGTGGACAGCGGACCCTGTCCGACACATACTGTGAACACATAGGTGTGGCTTAGCTGGCATCTGGATACGTGCCCCAACATCTGGTATGGCCTGGCCACCACGCTGCCCTGGATGTAGGGCTCATAGGTGCTTCCTAGGTCCTCATTCTCTGTGCTGTCTGCCGCCTGCCATCCTGTGGTGCCCACTGCAAGGCTCTGGGTAACTGTGGGGCCCATACTAGTGTCATTGGTCTCTTCTATACCCTTGCCCTCTTCTTCCTCACTCACCATGTTGGTTGTCACACAGTACCCAGCCATGTTGACATCCTATTGGCTAACCTCTGCATGGTGGCGTCTCCAGCTCTCAGTCCTGTGACTATGGAGTGCCGACTAGACAGATCATTCAGAGGCTCAGGCACTTGCTTCGACTTTTCTGGGCAGGAGCAGTGAAGAAGTGGGCCTTGAGAAGGCCTCCCCACAGGAATAAATGTGATCTCTGTTTTCTTCAGCGTGTGTGCCCAGATGACCAAGTGATGCTGCAGGACCTGTCTGGGTAGAGCTCTGACTAAAGCATCTCCATCATCTGTTGTCAGGTGGAACTGTGCTTACTCCAGCCCTATTTTATCACCCATCATGTAGGCAGAATACACTGAACTGACCTCTCTCTGCCCAGCTGTACAGTGCCTGGTCTATTCCTGATATCTCTAAGTCTGTGTTGATCTCCATAGATGGATTACACACATATGGAAGTGGTTGGTCCCAGACTGTGACAGGCTAGGATGTCTAGGACACAGTCTGAGGACTAGGATCATAGATTTTCTCCATCAGTTTATCTAGCCAAAACCAGATTAATGAAAGGTGTCTCTGAGTTGGGCCCCTTGTACAATGTCTGACACTAAGCAGTACTCTGCTTGCTGAGGGGATGAAGACAGGAGGAGCTGGAGAAATGGTATTATGTGAATAAAACAGAGCACAGTTCTGGAAATGGGCATGGTTTCTGACCTGGGTGATTAATACCTAGGGCTTGGAAGTCCTGTTGGCTTTGGATGTGGAGAGTGGATAATACTGTAGCTTCCTCACTAAGCTCTATCCCTACTTTAATCAGATACTAAGGCTACTCTTGTGTTTTCAACCTGTGCTAAGGGCTATTTGTAGTTGGCAAAATATAGGGACGACAACTCCAGCACCAGTTGTCATGATTCATGCTCTATCTGTTCTTTTGTTTTTCCTTTCCTATGTCCCTTCTTCTGTAAGCTGCCTTAGTTTTAGTGTCACCCACCTGTACATCGATCTCAGATGGGTTTCCTGCTTCATGCAGCTTAGGTTTCCTAAACTATTCCTCTCTTATCTTCCTAACCTCCATGCTCCTCTGGACCCCATGGGTACAGCAGGGCCAGATAGAGAAGCTAATGAAGAATGGATCTCTGGCCTTGAGCATTGAATGAAGGGGTGAGGATATGTAAAGTTAGATAAGGATATGATCTCTTAGCAAGGATTGTCCAACGAAGCTCTGGGAATGTCTTCCTGGAGCTGTATAGCCACACAACTTCTCAGATCTTTTCCCAGAAGGGAAGTGGCAGCTTCATATACCTTTCTCTACTAGGTATATATGCCAGGGCAAGGATTCCAAAGGATGATATGAGTAAGCAGAGGAACTTTATACTAAGCAGCCATCTTATCTAAAGTTAAAGGTCTGTGAAAAATAAAACAATAAAGAATAGAGGTAGTAGACCTACAGAGACAAAATTCCTCAATAGAAAAATGGAACAACACATTCTTCATAGAAAATCTGACATTCTCCTAGGCACTTGGGTGAATGTGACAGTACCCATTGTCTGAGAAATACTCAAGAGAGATAGCAGAAGAAAAGAGAGTAGTTTCGGGTGGCTGGCACTAAGAGCACCGAGCTTTGTGACTCAGTGCCTACACTGAGGCCTCAGGAACTACACTATTCCTTCTCTACAGGGACAATGGCAGTTCACAGGCCAGAAGACTTGAGGGTCCACAGCCTCCTGTGGCAGGTTAGGAAATATTGGAAGGGAGCTTTCTTAAAGGACGGGCAGCAGAGGCAGCTGGCATTAAGACCAGAGGAACTGCAAGAAGTATTTGAGTAGTGGAATGGATGGAAAAGTTTACAGTAGCTGGCATAGCGCAGCAGACAAATTTCTTGGGGTGAAGGAAGGTATATAATAGGGCAGTCCATTACAGTGTTGCTGAAGTGATCCCCCCAGGTATACACTTTGGCCCTCATCCAAGTGCACACAGTTAAGTAAATGACTTCTGTTCTTGAGACTGAACAGGTAGAGTTGCATTTCCTTCTTGAGACTTCCCTTTCTCAAAGTTGAGGGAAACATCAAAATCCCTCCTGAAAGGGACCCATCCCAGGGCCCCCACAGGATGTCTCAGGTTTACCTTAATCTGTTTGGACAAGAGGGCCCAGCAGGGTGGGGGAAGATCTAAGACTAGGGATGGATGAGGAAGACTGTGTTTGTAGTAATAAACTCACTACCCCCATGTTTGGAGGCAGCAATCTGTCTCTTTCCATACTCCCCCACACACCCCCTTTATCCTCTCAGCCCTTTCAAATGTCAAAATTTATACCCCCTCCTACTGAGACTGTTTACTTAGACTAGAAATAAAAGTCCAGGGGAGCCCCAAGTACTTACTCCACTCCTGTAGTTGATGCAAGATGCAGCCTGTTACAGTTCTTCTGACCGCTCTACAGCTGCTGTCCCTGGTGCTCCCAGGAGAGCCTCAGGTACAGGCAAAGGGCAGAGGGATCACAGCAGTAGATGGAGACTGTTTTATACTTTGGCCTGGCTTCCTTCGCCACTCGGATTCTGTTCAAGAACCTCCAGGTTCTGGGAGAAAGTGAGGGTAGACAGAACTAGGGAGGAAGAAAAGCAAGATGGGACACCCTGTATGCTCCGGTGTGCTCTGATTTTCCCTTTGCTTGCATGTATGAGCATAAGGGGAGCAAAGAAAGACAAAGGTGAAGCCAGTAGAGGAAGGAACTCTGGGCTGTATATGCTACTCAATTATGAGGCTCTGTTTTCTGCAAAAATCTGCCACTTTCTTCCTGTGCTCAGGATGCAAGGGCTCAAGGTAGTTATAAAAGGCTGTGTTATCTTTATTTTATTATCCTCCAAAAGCTAAACTATTGGGCTGGAATTGCAGACTGAAGGCATAACCAGATTAAGCTATCATCTTAAGAGAAGATATCTCAGAGAAAAACAGGGGCCACAGACATTTTAATTCTGAAAGACTTTGTAAGGAAACCTCAGTGGGTATTGCATACACAATAAAAAAGTTAGAAAGGAGTCTTGATTGAATCTAGTGCTGGTTTATCCAGCTCCAAAATGAGACTAAGAGATGAATTTAGTGAAATATAACTAATATAAAGACTCTTACCAGAGGCAGGGCCGGCACTGTTCTAAGTACTCTACAAATTATCTATCTATCTATCTATCTATCTATCTATCTATCTATCTATCTATCTATTTTATCTATCTGTCTATCTATCTATCTATCTATCTATCTATCTATCTATCTATCTATCTCTATAGCTGTATTTATAATTCTTAAAACAATAAGATAAACATCACATTTTTCCCCATTATACATATTAAGACAATGGGCACAGAGAAATTAAGTAATTTGCCCAGTGTCCCAGAATCAGGATTAGAACTCAGGAAATATGGCTATGGAATCAGTGGGTTTGGGCTCTGAGTATGCAAGTAATACAATAGGCATATGGCAGGGGAGGAGAGATCAAATTATGCACCTCTCTAGAACATCTCCCTCTGACTCTTTCTAGCTGAGGCAATGGAGCTGCCTCCTAGCCTTACCCTCTTGTCCTGTGCTGCATACCCACCGCAACATAGCTTTGATGTCTGCCGCTTCCTTAGGTGTCAGAGGATAGGATCTAGAACAAAGATGGGACCCGGGGGCAGCTTGAAGCATTGTTACTTATTTGTCATATAACTTAGCAAGGTATTTTTAGACTCTTAGAACCTCATGTTTTTCAACTATAGAATGTAGGTTGTAATTCACCCTCTGTTATGTCTTGTGAATGCTAAATATCCATCTAGACTGGTGTATCATGGTATTGTTACTGCTAATGCTTCTTTGGTGATTTGAAACTCTCTGTCCCTGCTGTCTTCAATACAAGGTAAAGTTGTGGGAATCTGCCAGACCTCTGGAGTGGGGATACTGTAGACAACTGATGCTTCCTAAGCCTATCTCCTAACACACCTCTGCAGACCAGCTTTGCTCTCTCCCACAGGGCCTTGAAGAAAAATTGGATTCCAGCAATGTGAACTGCAGCCACATTCAGCCAGTGCATGAGGTAGGGTGAGGTAGGCCCCACCAATAGGTGCTGGAAGGAACCTGAAGCTCCAATGCTGGGAAATCAAGGGAAGTATAACTCAAACCCCTAACAGAGGGATGCCCAAACTGACAGTCAAGAAGAAACCCCTGTGCAGAGGCAATGCTTCTCTGGCACTCCAAAGTGGGCTCAACCTCTTCTGCTTCATATTGGCAAACAGCCCATGGTGCCCCAACATATTTCATTATGCTTAGTGTGCCTATGGCCATGCTTTGCAGCTGGTGAGAAGTGTGTCAAGCTCTGTGGATGAAGGAGGCACATGCCATTGTGTGGTTCACCTGTCCGACAACCCCATCCCCTTGCAGCAGCTGGAACAGCTACATAGTACAGCTCAGGAGCTCATTTGCAAGTATGAGCAGAAGCTATCCAGAGTAAGTGCTTGATCTGTGGGCTGGGACTGGGAGTTATCCAAGCAGAGTCTCTATTTACCACAGCATGGGGATGAATCCTGGAAGTAGAAAATGAATTGAAGGAAGTGGCACAGCCCTCATCTTTGAGACGAATCCTTAGAATGAAGGGAAATTCTGTACTATCCTTGGGATCACCAGTGATAGTAACAGACTATAATTAGTAATTCACTCCCATAGTAATGGATGAATTAATGGATATGGGTCCACTGGAAGATGAAAATAGGGCAATTTTGTCCTGGGAGGATGCAACCGAATGGGAGAAGCCACAGGTGTTGACATTTGGGGCAACTTCCTGTTCATCCCCCACAGGCCCAGGTCAGTGAGTATGTACGTACCACTGAAGGTCAAGACAATGAGGTTCTGGAAATGAGCCATATACTGGAGTCCAGGAATCCCAGCGCCCTTGCTTCTCCCTATGAGATCCCAGCCTTCAACCTGCTGCACCTGGAGCTGGAGGGAATACAGGAATTGGTGACTCAACTGAAGGCCAAGGGAGGCATTAGTGTGGCTGGGGACCTCCTCTATTGACTCCAGAGCTAGGTATATGAATGGATTAAAGAATACTCCTTCCTAGGCTGGGTGCAGTGGCTCACGCCTGTAAACCCAGCACTTTGGGAAGCTGAGGCAGGTGAATCACCTGAGGTCGGGAGTTTGAGACCAGCCTGGCCAACATGGTGAAACCCCGTCTCTACTGAAAATACAAAAATCAGCCCCTCATGGTGGTGGGCACCTGTAATCACAGCTACCTGGGAGGCTAAGGCAGGAGAATCTCTTCAACCCTGTAGATGCAGGTTGCAGTGAGCTCAGATAGAGCCACTGCTCTCCAGCCTGGGCGACAGAACAAGACTCTGTCTTAAAAAGAAAAATTAAAAAAACAAACAAACAAACAAAAAAAACCTCTTCCTGTCTTCTCTAACCTCACAAATTGGACAATTTCTAACATTATTTCTTTCTGGGGGAAGAAAACTCTGAGCTGAGGAGTATGACAGCCAGAATTCAGTTTTTGAGAACACTCTGCAACCCACTTCCGGGGCATTTCATTTCCATAGGTGACTAATGCCAGTCTCACTCTCAAGCTTTTGGCTGACTCTGACCAGAGCAGCTTTGGTGCTCTCCAAAAGGAGGTGGATGTCCTTTAGAGTCAACTAAGTGAATGTGAGAGAGATAAAGAGAAAGAACAGGCCTCCAGATACCCTGGACCACCCCTGCCCCCTGGTGAGTTCAAAGACTGAATTTCTCAAGGTCCTATCTCTCCAGAGACCAGGTTGGGAGTGCATATTGGCTATGGTAAACTGAGGGAAGGGAAGTACAAATCTTTTTTTTTTTTTTTTGAGATGGAGTCTTGTTCTGTCTCCTGGGCTGGAGTACAATGGCGCAATATCAGCTCACTGTAACCTCTGCCTCCTGGGTTCAAGCGAGTCTCCCGCCTCAGGCTCCCAAGTAGCTGGGATTACAGGTGAATGCCATCACACTCAGAAAATTTTTGTATTTTTAGTAGAGACAGGGTTTTTTCATGTTGGCCATGCTGGTCTTGAATTCCTGACCTCAGGTGATCCACCTGGCTTGGCCTCCCAAGATGCTGGGATTACAGGCGTGAGCCACTGCACCCGGCTAAAATATAAATCTTGATAGAGAATAAATCTTTCATTTCTTTGTTTTGTGTGTCACTGAAAAATGCAGATCAAGATTGATATATTCTCATATATGGGCATATGTATACATAGACATACGAACACCCATAATCAGGCATACATAATAACCTATGTTCATGCAAAATCAACCTGCTGATATGCTTGTATATGCACTCAGGTGCATAAATATAAACTCAAATCCACATATAGTTACTATACTTTCACACTCAGCTACGTGTGAGTTGTGTGCTTTAAACCTGGCTCACATCTTGCTTGCTTTCTCCTCTAGCTTCTTGTGCCCATGGAGACCTCCAGAAAGTTAGCAAACCCCTTGTGGTGCAGCTCAATTGGAGAGGCTTCTCATACAAGGCAGGTGCCTGGGGCCGAGACTCAGCACCCAATCCAGCCTCTTCTGTTTACTGGGTGGCCCCTCTATGTACAGATGGTAGGTGAGCCCTGAGTGACTTCCGCAATCAGTTTAATTTCAAATGCCTCCTACCCTGACCCAAAGGTTTCTTTGTAGCTCCAGGGCAGCTGCTTTTCTCTATTTTAAGTATGCTCCAAAGCAAACCTAGCCTAGGCCTGACAGGTCACCTCCTAACGCTCTTCTCATGAGGCAAGCATGGCCCAGACTGCCCTGAGCTTCCTTTACAAATCCACTGTTTAAAAATTTAAATACCATAGTAACCCAACTATGGCTCTACTTCTACTCTGTTTCTATGTAAAGGACAAACTCTTCTACATCTGGGCCTCACAATCCTAACTTCCTGCTTAGAAGTTCAGAACATGTCTCTGGCCAAGCTTGAGACTTGGACGTAAGCCAATCTGTGTTTGAAACTCAGTACTGCCACTTAAGCTAAGTGACCTTGGGAAAATGAATTAAAGTATCATAGCCTTTTTTAGTCATATGTAAAGTGAAGATAATTATAAATATATGGGAAGATTACATGCGATTACATAGAAAACTATGTACAACATAGGTGCTGATACATATTTATTAGATAAAAGAATGACTAAAAGAGTCAATACATAGATGAATAAGACCCACAAAAAATTGTCAGCCTTGCTAGGGAGGTAGGCTCAACACACAGAATGTTAAAAGTCAGTGTGTGTGGAAATGTGATGTAGACCCTTTGAGAGAGAGACATGAAGACATGAATATAGGTTGAAGCAGTCATTGAAGAGCCCGGGCTGAAGCTCAACTCAGAAAGATTAGTGTTACTGAACATTAGTATCACTGAAAATAATGTTCTCTAATTTCTACGCTTATATAAAATGTATTATATAGGCTATACTTTGTAGCATATAACTCATATATGCTATACTTTGCAGCATATAAAATACATTTACATGCCTTGGAACCCTCTCAAAATCTTTATGGGTAATTAGGACTTACCAAAGTTAGGAGATAAAATTACTCATAACTGACAGATAATTTAAGGAACTTTCCAATGTGGTCTTGTGAGAACAAATTTCCCTGAATCCACCTCCAGAAATATGTCCTGTTACAGGACCCTGGCATCTCAAGAACAGGTGGAAGAAAGGAAGGCAGTGGAGTCTAGATACAGAAGAATGTCCATAAGAAAGAAAAAATAATAGTTACTATGTTTTGATTGCTCATTGAAACAAATACTCTACTAATTGTTTTCTTTGCTTTATTTTGGTCAGTCCTAACAGTCAATAAAGTAGCTTGTTATTTTTTTTTTTACAGTTTTTATTTATAAGCTGTGTGGCCTTGAGCAAATGACTTAACCTTTCTAAGACCTAGTCTCCTCATCTGTGAGGATAAAATCTACCTGACAGTGCTGTTATTATAATTAAGTAAGATTATGCATATATAACATCTATTGGGCACTGTAGCTCTTATTATTACTGTAACTTTTAAAAATAATTATTTGTTTTGTCATGGATGAGTAAGTAAAAGATGAACTAAAAGTCAGTTGTTTGAGAGCAAAGCCCTTGCCCTTAATTAGCAAACGGATCTGCCCATTTTTATAGCTCTTTGTTACCTTGCTTACTGCTGTAAATAAGTAATAAATCTGAATGTGGGGGCTTGGCCTAGGTACTTTGACTACTATCGGCTGTACAAATCCTATAATGACCTCGTGCTGCTGGCAAACTATGAAGAGAGGAAGATGGGCTATGGTGATGGCAGTGGAAATGTTGTGTACAAGAACTTTATGTACTTTAACTACTATGGCACAAGTGACATGGCCAAGATGGACCTTTCCCCCAACACCCTGGTGCTGCGGCATCTGCTGCCTGGTGCTACCTATAACAACCGCTTTTCCTATGCTGGTGTGCCCTGGAAGGACATAGATTTTGCTGGTGATGAGAAGGGGCTGTGGGTTCTCTATGCCACTGAGGAGAGCAAGGGGAACCTGGTTGTGAGTCTTCTCAACACTAGCACTCTAGAAGTGGAGAAAACCTGGCACACCAGCCAGCACAAGCCAGCCCTGTCAGGGGCCTTCATGGCCTGTGGGGTGCTCTATGCCTTACGCTCACTGAGCACCCTCCAAGAAGAGATCTTTTATGCTTTTGACACCACCACTGGGCAGGAGCGCTGCCACAGCATCCTGTTGGACAAGATGCTGGAAAGGCTGCAGAGCATCAATTACTGCCCCTCAGACCACAAGCTATATGTCTTCAATGATGGTTACCTGATAAATTATGACCTCACCTTCCTGACAATGAATAGCAGGCTACCAAGACCACCAGCCAAGAGGACCTCTGGGGTTCATGTTTCCCCAAAACCTGTCAAACCTAACAAAGCTTTCAGACACTGAGACCCCAGGGCTGGGCAGAGCATTGGTAGATGCATGTCTTCTTCCTTACCTCCGGGAGGACCATAACCCAAAATGGTGATTGGCCCTAATGATTGGGAGGCGTTGATCATACGTAGTGAGTTCCTTATGTAATTAATATCTCAATCAGCACATTAAGGTTCCCTTTAATAATGATCTAGGTGGATTTGATAGGAAAAAAGTGAAATATTAGCTAACAAAATGGTACCCTTTCTTTCTGATGCTTTGGCATCTTGTATTCCTTTTGGAGAATCATAAATCCAGCTTCTAGAACTTGAGAGTTCTGTGATCTAGAATTGTCAGTCTCAGGTTGGGAACATTGGATTCCAGTGCAGAAGCTGCAGGGGAACTGGTCATTAGAGTGGGATATGCAAGTTCCCTTTCTTATCTCTACCTTCCTGTGAGGTCCCTAGGGATAAAAGGGGCAAAATCTTGGTCTGAAAATCAATTTTCATTGTCCTGGATCGATCTCACTTTTGAGGGCAATTGCAAGAGAAGTGCTTAGGCCTGAGTCTTGCTGTAGTAAGTTAGCAACTGGCAACACAGCATGGTGAGGATCTGATATGGATGGCGCTGGGGGTCTAGATATTCTCAATAAAGAATCATTGGTTTGGTAGCAGAAAGTCTCCTGGCCAGCTGTCTGTCATCCCTTAGATTGTCTTCAATACAGGCTTGAATTGTATTGAAGCTCAATACAGGCTTGAGCTCTTTGCTTGTTCCTTACCTGTCTGTGTTGTGTTTTTCCCTCTCCAGGCAGGTTGATGGAACATATAAAATCCTGAAGCCTTCCTTGTAACACAGAAATGCATGTACTTTCATATATACATTCAATGAGACATATATGTTCTCACTCATATAAAAAATTATTTCCAACTGCACCTAAACATCAGCATAGACATAAATACACATTTTAACATATCTAATAACAGAAATGTCATCAGCTTCTAAATAAAAATCAAACACAATTCTCCAAATTTATATGGGACCAATAATCCAGCTTTTTAGTTGCCTGCACCTGTCCCCTTAAGAATTTTACTGCTAACCATCTCCTCTCCCACCTCTTGATTTACAGACAACATTCCCCCTTAATGCTTTGCCATAAAGGTGGCACACAAGAGTGGGTTAGGACATTGAAACAAATCATTCTAAAACTTCTGCTATAATGACAGGTAGAAGAGATCAAGTGATATGTGATTAACACATGTATTATAAAAAACAGCTGATTCATGTTTAGTTTGGAATGTCCTTATGAAGAGCCTTCCTGGTTACCTGTACTCCTGCTTCCTGGGACAGAGGAACATTTTCCCCACCATATGGGAGCACAATTAAGTTTAGAATCCCAAAATCTAGACTGTAAATAAGGCCCACATTTCCAGATCATTAAAACAATTAAAAAGCTCCTCCCTATGAGAGAGACTGCTTTCTTACAGGAGTGTGGTTTTATCTATGGCTTCAGAAGACCCAACTTTTCATATAAGTCTGACATCCCTATAAGGAACATACACATAGTATCACACGGAAACACAGGTTCCACATTTAAAATTTGGTTTTTATTTACTTTTCTGTGTTCTCACTGGTTCTATCCTGAGAACTTCATCCCTGTTTTCTGGAAAACTATTTTAATTTATTGTAGGGACCTGGACCCCTGTTTAATTTATTGTAGGGACCTGGCCCTCCTTCCCCAGCGGTCCATGGTGGATGTGAGGCTAGCGCTGACATCACAATACCCCTTTTCTGAAGATTCACGCCCTGGGTGGGTGGGGTAGGAGGAGGGGTAGCCCTAGGAGAAGTCATAACCACTTTATCCACCATGGATGAAGTATGAATCAGTAGCCACGCCAGGCCTCAGCTGGGTCACATCTGGAGAACTGGGGTGAGGGCACAACATCGCAAAAACCTGGCCCCAGCCTGGTCACTCATCCCTTTTTGGGCAACAAGAACACTATCCTGTGGCCTGAGAACAGAATCTGAGACAAAGGCCAGCAGAAACATTATCCTGCCCTCACCCTTTCTGCCCCTGCTTCCTCCTGCTCCCTGTCTGTCTGCCCATTTAAAGCTCATGCATGCCATCTCCTGAACATCCAGGATGTCCCAGAGTGGACATTCTTCAGGTCTTCCTGCAGACAAAAATATCTCTTCAAGTGCCACTCAAGTGATAGTGAAGACTGCAGGCAACCAGAAAGACTTTATGGTGGCTGACGACATCTCGGTGAGGCAGTTCAAGGAGAAGCTATCGGCTCACTTCCAATGCCAAATGGACCAACTTGTGCTGGTCTTCATGGGCCGTCTTCTCAAAGACCATGACACGCTGAGCCAGAGGGGCATTATGGATGGTCATACCATCTACCTGGTCATCAAGTCCAAGCACGGCTCCAGATCTCTGGCCCATTCCTTCCAGGACCTGCCAATGAATGATCCCTGCCACCGGGACAGAAACACTGAAGGAAACAGCAGTGGGGTGCACCAACCAACAGGTATGAATGAAGCTCCAGTGGAATTGGCCCACTATGTGGGATCTGATACACCCAAAGTTTATACCCAGAACTTGGAAGTGAGCCATCCAGAGCACATAGCACAGATGCTGGAGAATCCTAGCATTCAGCGGCTTCTGTCCAACATGGAGTTCATGCGGCAGTTCAACTTAGAACACCCAGACACGCAACAATTGATGCAGCAGAGCCCAGAGGTTTCCCACCTTCTTGACAATTCTGAGATCTTATGGCAGACTCTGGAGCTGGCCAGGAACCTTGCTATCATTCAAGAGATAATGCAGCTCCACCAACCTTCGCAAAACCTTGAATATCCACTGAACCCACAGCCGTATCTGGTCTTAGAGACAATGCCAGGTGGGAATATTTCCCTGGGTCAGAACTGTGCTGATGTCAAAGATCAAATGCTGAACAGCATGCAAGATCCTTTTGGAGGAAACCCTTTCACAGCTCTCCTGGCTGGACAAGTGCTGGAACAAGTCCAGTCTTTATGTCCAACTCCACCACCGTCCCAGGAACGACGAGACCAGCTCCCACAGCATCCTACAACCCGAGTCATTTATAATAGCTCTCGTGGTTTATCTTCAAACATTTCAGCCAATGACACCCCCAACAAGGTCAACCACACTTCCAAGGTCAACACTGCTACAATCTCCACCAAGGGCCATAGCCATATCTGTGCCTCTAAGCAGCCAGCTGGGATACCAGCCTTACCTAGCATACAGTTTACCCAGCAGCCTCAAGAAGAAAACAAGGATGCCACTGTTTCTCTAAGTAGCTCCGGACAGATATTAGAGGGTGATCTCCAGCTGTCAGATGAGCATACCAGCTCCCAGGTCACAGGAGGCATGACGCAGTCGCTTATGAACACCCCCTAGCTGGCAGCTCAGATTATGTTGTTCATGAGTATGCCCAGGCTGTCTAGACAGTGGAGGCAGCAGTTGCCCACATTCCTGGAGCAGACACAGATTTCTGACCTGCTTATTGCTTTAGCCAACCATAAAGCATCACAAGCAATATTGCAGATGGAGCAGGGTCTCCAGCTGCTGGCCATAGAGGGTCCTGTTCTTCTGCCTTGGGTTACACCCTACCTATGGGGCCTGGGTTGCCTTCCTGTCCCGAGCTGAAGCTACCTTGACACAGTGCCCCAGTCCTGAAATATTCCAGCTATAGCTGAGCCCAAGGGACCTGAGTGCTGCCACAAGTCTGGAACAGTCCTTCAGAGGCTACAGTTCCCAGATGGGGATGCTTCCCACCCTCTGCAAGCTCCTGAGATTTGTTTTGGCAAACAGATGGAATCTCTCCAGGCTCCCCGGGATTTGGGAACCATCATGCCAATCTACAGGCACTCATTGCTACTGAGGGGGACACCAATGCTGCTACCTGCAAGCTCAAGACATTGCAGATTCTAACCACCATGCCTACTTCTTTGCTTGCTACCTGCCAGCTAACCCACCTGAACATCTCATTTGCTATTTGCACCTCTCCTGATGCTTCTAGCCAGGAGAACTCCTGGAATAGGAGTTATCAACCAGTGCTTCCTGTGCTGAAAAATAGATCATTGGCCATGGCTGGAACATCTGTCAATAAAATGGCTACACCTGCTTGCACTGATCTGAGGTTTGACTTCTTTTATTTAAAAAAAAACTGTGTGATATCTTTGTCTTACCTACTATACATATGTTAACACACAAACCACATGCACATATTAGTATAGAGATAAAAATAATGTTTTTATCTCTAAAACATGAGCATTTTGAGCGTGGTGTATGAAACTTCAGCATGATATATGAAACTGATTATTTTGAGCATGTCATCTCAGACAGGCACATGTATGTATACAAGCTCACATAGTAAAAGATTCACATACACAGGCATATAGAGTACACATACGAGTACACATAGTCATGTGCAAACACAGATGCAAATACCTAGAGACACCTAAACAGACCCATGCATAGGGAAAACCATCATAACATGCTCAAACAGAAAGAAACATATTACATAGATAGGTCCAGATACTGACTCATAAGACTGAATTTCTCAAACCCAAATTGTTCAAGTTTGAGGGTGGAAAAGGAATAATACATGGGCCAGAATATGGTAAATTTACATATCAACCCAGCCTAATGAACAGTCATCATTAGAGCCTCTTACTAATTGACATTGCCACCATTATAAGATGGTGATGGGCTGTCACCAATTCTTCTTTAGCACACACAGATGCAGCTGCTGCCATCTCCATTATGTAACCCAGTCACCACAAATTCAGCCCTCCATGCGGCACAGCACCTTCCAAGTGTATCATCTCCTTCAGCATATCTTATGTTTGTAGTTTGCATTTTCCATGGTTGCCAATGCTCCATATTTTTCTCTTTCTGCCTCACCTGGAGTATCCCAGCGTGGCAAGATATGCAATTACTTGTGTTTTAATTTTTCTATGATTAAATAATTTAATATACTCTTACCATAATAATTCAATGTTGTTTTAGGCATTGAAAAATTGCAGTGAAAAAACAAAGATCCTTTATTTATTGATTTCACTCTCCTTTGTGGAGATACAAGTTTTGTTAGGTGGTAAATGCTGTGACATAAAATGAATCAAAATGAGATATTCTACATAAGGCAATCAGGGAAGGCCACTCTGAATAGGTGCTGACGTTTGAGCAGAAATCAGAAGTAATCGGAGAACTTTACATGCATCTCACTGAGACAAGGATGATACAGTGGTTGTCTGAAAGTAAATGCACCGAGGTAGCATTATTCCTGCTATGTTTACAAGAAGGTGATGTAGCTGAAATGGACAAAAAGGAGGGGTGATGGGGAAGAAGTCAAAGAGATTGTGAAAAGTTTTTTTTTTTTTTTTTTTTTTTTAAGACAGAGTTTCACTCTTGTTGCCCAGGCTGGAGTGCAATGGCACGATCTCCACTCACCACAACCTCCACCTCCTGGGTTCAAGCGATTTTCCTGCCTTAACCTCCTGAGTAGCTGGAATTACAGGCATGTGCTGCCACGCCTGGCTAATTTTGTATTTTTAGCAGAGACAGAGTTTCTCTATGTTGGTCAGGCTGGTCTCGAACTCCCCACCTCAGGTGATCCACCCTGATTACAGGTGACAGCCACTGAGCCT